TCCTCTAAATCGAGTCTAGAAAAATCCTTTGCAAAACCAGCATTTTCGATAAAGAAAAGCAAAGACAAAACAAGGGAGTGGTGTGCTGTGGTTAACACTGGTACTTACAAAGTGTGTGTTGATATAGGAGAAATGCCTGATCATTACTATGCTGAATCTAAAAAGTAGAATACAAAATATATATACAGAAGAACCGTATAATGTAGGAAAACAGACAAAAGGTGTACACAAGAGAAAAAGAGATTATACAAAGTAATACCAGTGTTCAAGGTGGGTGATGGGACCATGGATTTTATTTTTCTTTCCTCTTATTACCAGGTATATTCCAAACTGTATCTAACTAACAATGGAAAGTGTACATAACAATGCTGTGAGATTTTTGCATACAGCAAATTTAAAGTCACTTTTTAGCGACGTCGTGGGTTTTCTGAGAGATTGTGTACATGAGTGCCGACCAGTGAAAGTCTGTCAGTGCTGTCCAGACCGCTTTTCATATTACAATTTACGACCACTCACTATTTAGTATCTTGACCAACTGCAAACTATGTCTCCCACCCCTGACCTGAGAAAATACCACCGGTGCCAAAACAAGCTGGGCAGCGGCGCTTGGCCACAGTTCTGAGCACATTCACATACCTGCCTGGGCGGTTCTGGGATGCCAACCCCACAACTACACGGATCTCAGCACATCAGACAGGCCCAGTTTTTATTTCCTTTTTAATAAAAGGGGGAGGGCAATTGATACCTTCAAGTTAGACTTAGTCTGGCGAAATAGTTCCTAAATAAAACCTAGTATTTGCCTCAGCTTTTTACCCCTGCCCCTCCAACTACGATTTCTGGGAGTGAAATGCCTACATTTGTCAAGCCCTTTCAGGAAGCTGACACCTTCCACACATAAAAGCCATGCTTTGGCCTGAGCCCAGCCTCTTATTATCTTGCATGAGAACAGCAAACATCATCAGACATTTCCATGTCGGCTAACTTCACTACAGCACTGAAGAGCGGGTATGCAAGAAAGCGAATGCAACAAGGAAAAAGGAGGGTTTTGTCCCCAGGCTTCTTTTTTGCAGCAACTACACTGGCTTCAGCTGGATAACAAATTGTCCTGGAATTCTTGGCGACAGAGCAAACATGTCAGCTCCCTGGTTACGCCTTCGTCACTGCTCAAAGCACCACACACTTTAACCTCCCTGCTCTTTCCATAGGCCTGGGCTTGTCCCGTATCCAGGAAACTTTATATGTTGTCTAAACTGAGCATCCCAGCAGGCTGCAGGGCAGATGGCAGCTCAGGATTCCGAATGTTGACCAATTCCTACCTGGACCCACACCACCAAGCTGAAACTCAGCCTGCCTGTGCAGAAATAGGAGCCAGCCTCGTGGCCGATGGCTTTTTTAACTGCTACTGTCAGCAATGAGGAGCCTTCTCCAGCAGACAAGATTCGGAAGGGAACTGAGAGGAAAGCAAAGTCAAGATTTATCTAAAGGGATACACAGGTTTGACCAAATATGCAAGCCAATAAGCACCCAAGGCTCAGCTAAGCCAGGAGCTAAAAAAGACCAGATATTACTGACCTGCCCTCCAGTCCTTGGGACCTCAGGTCACTAGCCAAGGACATCATGTAGAGGAACTAGACCCCACTCCAGATCTGTTTCCATGTCACTAGATTCTCATTAGAGGCTTCTTACTTCAGTCAGGGAGCAAGCCAGCACTTGCCCAAAGTAGCAGCTGAACCACACCATTCAGTGTAGAACATATGAAAAGAGTGAGGTCAGAGTGTAGAGTAGGACACTTTGTCTAAAAATAAAAGGTTAGAGACAGGAATCCGTACATGCAGAAGCCATCTCTGGAGGGGAACACACCTGGCAGCGCCAATCTGGGGAGGGAGCAGCTGGAGGAGAAAGTGGGAACCTTTACCTTGGGAGCTTCTGAATTTTGAACCATGTGAATGCATAGCCTTTCAAAGAACAATAAAAATAAAAATGTAGAATGCTATGTCATACTGTTATTTAAAAAATGCCCTATAAATCTGTGTGGACATAAAAAGCTTTCTGGAAGAACACACAATTGTTAACTGTGAGTTACCCCCGGGGAATGGGAATAGGGGGAGGAGATGTTCATGTCTTGATATAATCATTATTGTTTTATTTCCAAAGGCAGTATTACTTTTGTGATTTTTACTTTAAAAAGAAAAAAGAGCCCGCCTGGCCTGACTCAATGATTGCACCGTCGACCCAGGAACCAGGAGATCATGGTTCAACTCCTAGTTGGGACACATTCCGGGGATGCGGGCTTGATCCCCAGGAGGGGGCGCACAGGAGGCAGCCAATCAATGGTTCTCTCTTATCATTGATGTTTCAATCTCTCTCCATCTCCCTTCCTCTCTAAAATCAATAAAAATATGTTTTTTAAAAAAGAATTGCAACCTCACCCTGGCCAGGTAACTCCGTTGGTTACAGCATCATCCCAATTGCCAAGTCAGGGTTCGATTCCTGGTCAGGGCACATATAAGAATCAGCCAAGGAAACAGTGGAACAAATAATCAATGTTTCTCTCTCTCTCAAATCAATAAAAAAAACAAAAAACAAAAAACAAAACCCTGCAACCTCACCTTCAACAAGAATCTCCCTCAGCATTTGTTTTGTCTGTCTCACATGGCTCAATCACATCTTATCTTGCATTACAATTCCTCATGTACAGATCTCATCTCCATTAAATGATGGAGCAACTGAGACTGCAGCCTGCCTACCACTCAAACACCACGTTCCAGGGACAAACTCTGTGGAAAATAACCAGTAAGAACTAAAATAGCAGTCAAGTTGGCAACAAAGCAATCACACAAGAGCTAATCAATCAACTAAAGAGTGAACAATAATCTCCTAAGCGTGTGAAACTTAGCGCAGGACTATTAGCAATGGGAAACCATGACCAAATCAAAACAATATGGAAAACAGAGTTTGTCCCAGAAATTGTGGGAATTCCAACAATGCAGAGGTGCTAGTAACTTTGCAGAATTGTCGAGCAAAGTGTGACAGCCAGATTTCTCAGAAATCAGTGAATTCCTATCAGAGGACATGATCTTTGTTAAGAAAAATTGAAGTGACTTTGGAGTGCTGAGAGGTTCCTTCTAGGACATGGCCTGAAGGGATGAAGAAACTGAATTTTTCTGTAAAATCAAAGTGGCAAGTTTCAGGGAAAATGGGAGACTGTACTAGAAAATGAATGTCATGTGAGGTAGTTCAGAGAGGACTCAACAGGCAGTGCTAAGGAGAAGAGAGAGCCACTGGAAAATTGAGAAATTCTGGGAAGCAAGAGGCAATGGATATCTGTGCCTCAACTTCAAGCTATTTGTTTGCTTCTGAAACACATTACCACTCTGACAAGGTGTTTCTGGAGGAGGTAATCCAGAATGAAGGAAATGGGATAAAATGATCCCACAGGCCCCTAATTCTCAATAATGCTCTTTCCAAAACCCTCAGCTTGAGGGCCAGATTTATTCTCCGTGAAACAACCAATAGCAAGAAATGGACAACAACAGAAATGATACCAGATGGGACTATTATGAAGGATAGTGAACTGTTAGAAAGGGAGGGCTGGTGTAGGTAGAGAGAAAAGCTCCACAGGACAGAGAGGGGATCAAGAGATGAACAAAAGTTAAAAACCAAAGCAAGAGGTGACTAGAAAAAATGATAATAATAAAGCCCCCAGAAAATCCACAAGATATGAGGACTGGGGTAGAATTGGATTTCTCTGGGTACAAGGGATGGAAAACTGTTTGGGGCTGATACCTGCATGTCCTCCTTAACTCCCCTTTCTCTTACTCTCCAGGTCCAATCTGTTAGCAAGTCTTATCAGTTACAGCTTCAAAATCCATTCAGAACCCAACCATTTTTCACCACCTCCACTGCTACCATGCAAGCCTGGGGGCCACTATCAGTTCTCACCTCGACTATAGCAAGAGCCTCAACTTTCCTGTTTCCTTCTCACATGCCCCGCTCCCTGCCCTAGTCTATTCTCCACACAGTGGTCAGTCAGTCAGGGAAACATGTCTCACCTGACAGAACAGTTACTTGCTTATTGTCCGTCTCCCCTCAAAAAAAGGTAAGCTCCATGAAGGCAAGGTCTTCTATTTTTGGTCTCTGCTGTATTTCTAGAGACTAGCACAATGCCAAGTTATATGTAGTTGGTACCAAATTAATATTGTTAAATGAACTACATAAGCAGTTATGGAACTGTATACCATATGTGTCTAAGGGAATAAAGGAACCATATTTTGCATCCGTTAGTGGGCTTGCAAATCATATCTTACTGAATCTACAATGGTTTGTACACATGCTCACTGAACGAATAAATAAAAGGAATAAGGTCTAATAGGGTACCTAGGACTGGCCTGGACAGAATATGATTAGTATAGAGCAGAGTTCATACATAATGTCAAGTCTAAAAGAAAATATACTATTTAACATGGACCTAGCAAATACTGTGCCAGCTACAAGAAATACAGAGATGACTAAGGAAATTTTAGAAACCTGTGTGTCTGCTAGTTTGTAAACAAGTACAAGTAACTCAGTGGTGTAATTGTTGTACTAGAGATATTCACAAGGAACATTTGGGAGGCACTAAAAAATAAGTGATCATCCTTATCTGGGGAGGTCAAGGGAGGATTTATTTAAAAAACGTTACTTGAGCTGACACTTATAAGGAACCAGGGAGGGAAGACAAACATTTCTGCCAGTCCAGGTTACTGAAGGACTTAAAACGTGGGCAGCACGGCATTGCCATTATTATCAGCACCGATAAGGGAAGAATGTGCCTTCGTAGCAGCAGCTCTGCCAAAGCTTGCTGATGGCTACCAGCAGTCCACACCGTCTTCTTCCTTGTTGTGCCGTTAATGAGGCTTTGCCCTCGTAGCAAAGGGCTCAACTTGAAATTCATTTTGTGCAGAGAAGAAGAATCTGATACACTGACTGTTCCTCACTGAAGCCATGACTCAAATCCTATCTCAGTAATTAACTACCTTTATTTTCTGACATAAAATAGAAAAGAAAAAGGGGGAGGGGGAGAATGGGCAATAGAAATTACATAGTGCTGATATAAAGACTTTAAATTCTAGTCGAAGTTAAAACCCATTTTAAAGGTCAACTGATGGTCCAAAGGAAATAACTACATGGAGTCTGACCAAGATATATGTGAGTTGAGTCTCATTATTCGCCTCCATAATGCAAGATAACAATTCTCAACAACATTAGAGCCCACACTTGTTAGGTATGCTCTGTCGGGCATGGGTAGGTAAAGTCTGAAGAAATGTGTCCTCTCCATACCACTGTGACAGAAAGCTTTGATGGAAAAGGCAGCTCCTGTTCCCAGGTAGTGTCTGCAGCCCACAGCTGAGTTCAGCAATGGAATCGAGTGGAGAACTTGGGAGATACAGGCACGGTCAGAGGCTGGTCACTTGACTTGATCTCCACACCCTGGTATTTGCGTATTGGGTTTGCCTTGTGCACCTGCAAAGTAAGGAAAATAAAATCATCACTGATAATGACGGGCGGGAGGGGGGGGAGGGGGGTGCCAGGGAGGCAACACAGTATAATGGAAAAGCACATGAGCTTTGGAGCCCAAGTAGGTTTCTTTCTGTTCATGTCTTGCTCATCCCTCAGCTTACACTAAAGAATGTCAAGCCTATCTCCAGTGTGAGTGTTTGTTGCTAGGATGTAATGGGGCAGTACTCAATTGTAGCAGAGAAGAGATACATGTTAAGAATTGGCTAAAGTACAGCCTTAAGCTTACTGAGTCTTAATATTCGCCAAAAGCACGGACAAAAACAAACAAAAAACAGTAACTAGGAAGGGTTGCTGAAAGAATGCCTGTTATCCTCTGGGCAGCCCACAACAAGCATGTCAAACTCAAAGACTAACATGGGCCAAATAAACAAGGTTTCAGTTTATGTGGGCAGCAAAATAAAAGCTTCAATTTTCATAGAAACGTAGGATTATTTTGATAGAGAAATGCTGAATACAAAGGGCTGAAATAAATGAGTAATTGTTGACATAATAGAACGTTTTAATAAAAATTAATATTTTTCCTTGAACATTAACCTACCAGACACTGAATAACTGCACAAGTTAATAAGCGTAACGCAAATAAACCTATTCTTCTTGTTCTCTGAAAGCGAAATATTTCCTGTTGCCCACACCAAACAAGTCAATCCAAGACTAATGACGTGGCAATCGGCTGCTAACACATTCGCTGCTGGTATTAGTGCAGAGAAATGGTGCGCCTTTGCGTAAGGGAAATGAATGCAACACAATTATAGTAATCAGTCATTAGCAAATGTTGTAGTTCGTCATTAAAAATTATGTGTAACAGGATATTGTAAAAATTAAGTTACGAAATTTTTATTAAAATGTTTCTTATATACCGTTATATTGGCTGGGCCGCAAAAATATTCGTTGTGGACCAAGAGTTTAACATGGTTGGTCTACAATCAATCCTACATCAAGCCAGATTAACAGAGAGCTAACTACACTGAAAGAGCTGTGCTCAGCCTACACTGAGACTCAGTAAGAAACAGTTCCAGGATGGGGACAAACAGGAGCAGCAGGAACCAAGTGTTGAAGAAAATTCAAAGAGCCTGAGGATGGAAGAAAGGCTGGTTCTGCAAGTGTATCTGGAGTGGGGAATGTATTGTTTTTTCATTCAATTAGAAAATGGTAGCTTGAATTTTGCTGAGAAGCTAATTCCTTTAATAGTTTGTGCTTAGTCCCTTCCTGCAGCCACAGTCACCTCTGCCAACTGCTGTATCAGCTGTTGGCTTAGCACTTTTAGACAAAACCTCAACAATTTATGTATTTCCATAGTCATTTTTATTAACCGTATGAAGCTTCATCTAAAACTGTCTTCTTCCTCACTGATGCAGTTAATGTGGCTTGCTGCCCTCCTAGTGAAAGGGTCCTAACTATAAATTAAGCTTTCTTTTTGGGTAACTAATATTTAAATCATTATGCTAGTGTTAGCACAGAGCTTCATGTGAACAGATATGCACTGTAACTCCAAGGAATCTGAGTCAAGTATTAAGAGGAAAATGAAA